CCATTAACGAACAGTAAATAGCGGACTATACTGAATCTTGAATTTCTGAATATCCAAATCTTAAATAAAAAAATTACCAGCTCTACAATCTCAAATCTTGACTCCCAATTCTGAACCTTGAAACCTGAAGTAATAAATCATGTAATTTAAATCGTAAAAATTTCAATTATAAAATTTTAGATAGATACTGAAATTCTTGCTCAACTAGAATTCTGAATTAAAAATACGCTATTATTAAAAGCCTGAATTTTTAACAGTGAATCCAAGAATCCTGAAACACTGAATTTTGAGATACTAAATCCTGAAATTTTGAATTTTGAAACGTAAAATGCAAAATTCAATATATCAAGTTGAATGATGAGGTTTCCACATCAAGAAATCGCAAATCCTATACTCCTAAAACTTAAAATCGTGAATCCTGAAATCCTAAATTCCCTGAAATTTCAGATCCTTAAAATCCGGAAACCTGAAATTCCGCATTCTGGAATCCTGTGTACTGTAAACATCTTTAATCCTAAAATTCTAAACATAAAATTGGCAATCCTAAAATCGTGAAATTTTAAAATTTGTATTTGTGAAGTTTTGAAGTCAAAGCTTTGAAATCTTGAAACATTTCTAAAATCCTCAATTCTTAAGCCTGAAATTCCAAATCACCCTAAAATGTAATCGAAATACTGAAATCTAATTGTCAATTTCGAATTTTAAAATTCTGAACGCTAAAACGCTGAATCTCAAACCCCAAAATTCGGAATACAAAAATCCTGAATATTAAACTTTAAAATCAATTGGATTCTACGATTATAATGCCCCAAACTTGAAATCTTGCAATCCTGAATTTTTAAACATAAAATTGTAAAATCCTGACGATGTTTTTAAAAATCCTAAACAACACAAACACGAATTGCCTGAAACGGAACAAAAATGAGCAGGTGATGATAAAGTCCGCTTGTGTAAATAATGTCTTCAAAACTGATTACCTGAGTTGTTTAAAATCATTGTCAAAGCGACTACTGTGTTCGTTTTTCTTGTTATTTGTCAAAAATAATCTCTACAAGTTTTTTGACAGTTATCTCACTTAATCTCTCCCCTCATTAGTCAACCACCTCTCTTTGTGTGCCTTTTCGGGCAAATATTTGTAGGCCATCGCACTGAATAACACAGTTATAAAACCCCGACCAAATATTTGTACTCGAAAGCAAACGTCCAAATACAAGCCGCTGACATTCTCCCATCCATAAAAAAATTTACGACAGCTAATTACCCGCGTTTGCATTGTACCTTATCTACATCTCCATTTTCCGACGCTTTTCCACGAATCCTCGGCTCCGCTGCTCCACTAAACGAAATTTTTCTACGCCTACTGCGAACGTTTACAAGCGAGAGATTTATATATCATTGTATTCCGATTTTTTATGCCGGCGATGACGTAAAAAACCAATATGGCGCCCGTAAAGAATATGTCAAGTAGGCGTCAAATAATCACGCTCATATTTCATAAACGGACGGATAGTGGAAATTGTTCGAATATGCGTACACACAAATAAAAAATAAACAGACAAAGAGATAAGAGGTGGCGCGGCTACTTTTTGGAAACGCCATTGTTGCATAAATCTCGTAAATAACAAAGATTATTTATGGAGGAAATGTCGTGTTTTCGGGTGACAAATGGACCGGCTTTGTTTAAATAAAATATGGCCGAATAAAAATCGAATGTTTTATGCATAGTAGCTGCTAGATAATTTGGATTCGAAGAGAGTTTGGACGTCATTGAGATGCAGTCGATGGCATTTTTTTGGAAATAAATTTTCGCCGTAAATAGCTGACGTAATGCGATTCGCAAATAGAAACGATATTTTAGAACAAAGACTAGGATTACGTACTTACAACGAAAATATGCTGACTTTGTTGACAAGCGGTAAAAGCTAGGTTTAATTAAAAGCCCAATATTACTTTTTTATACGAGGATTTAAAATATTATATTTAAAATATAATAAGATGTAATAAGACGGATGCAGCTGGTTAGTTATAAATTTTCTCTTGTTAATGATAATAGTTTCAGATAACACGTTCTGACAACAGATGTTTTAAATATGCCAAATGCGGGACCTATTTAAGACTGATCGATTTGCCGAAACCGCGAATTTGTCGTTTTTAGATCCGCTAATTGGATAAACTAAAGCTCCCGTAGACGTCAAAGCAATCCCATAACGTCATCCGAGTCCGGTCCTGCAAAGGCCGACCGGTTGTTGGAATTGTGCATATATTAAGTCTCATATTAGAAAAGTGCAGGTTATATAAACACAGTCATTATAATAATTTTAAATGAGACGGGAATAAAATTATAAAGTAATGTCCAAGAGAGACAAATATTGTTTTTAATATATTTTTATGGCAGCATAAAACAATAATTGTAAATAATATTCGTCCGGAATAGAACAAGTTGCAATAACGTTTCTCATTCTTGCGTTCTTCTTTAATGCAATGAATGCGTTCGTAGATGCAAAGGAACAGTAAATCATTGCGATTGTGTGCGAGGATGAATGGACTCAGGTAGAGGGTAGATTTTTTCGGTGAAATTTGTAGGGTGGTCATGAATGAGTCACGGCGAAACGTAAAGAGAAAAGCGGTGAGTATTGTCGAGATTCGAGTCATTCTGAAATTTGGAATTCCGGTTTAAGGCAGACAAAAACCTGAAATAAGGAAATTCCAGAACTATTAGTAACGGTTCTGACATATTTTTCACTTCCGACGCTTCTGGACTTGGCGAAATTTTTTCTTTTGTTGTTATGAATGTATTTGGGTTAAGAAAGTAAGGCCGTCTGAGCATTTCTCCAACACGCATTTCAATCGTAAATCTGAAATTCTATGTCTGGAAGTCTTGAACCCTGAATTCTAGTCTAGTTCAAAATTTTTAAAATTTTATTTTGGTTTTGAAGCTTGAACTTCTTAACATATGTTCAGAAAATGTATTCATTCATATATCTCTAGTGTCACTGTTGAACAAAAGAGTGCAGCCAACAGTGAGGCATTTCAGATATCTTGGCAACATTATCAATATCTGGAATTCTCAAGTCTGACGACATCCGGAACAACAAAGCCTAGAAACCGTTCGACATTTATCCACATCAAAAAATTCCTCCATTTTTCCTCGACCTCCATCAAAGTGGCCACTTTACGTCGTTCCTGCCAGTTTGCCTAAGAAAATAATTTATGGATTAATTGTTGTTCCGCAATTATCGACTTTCTCTCCATTATGGCATATCTCGGCAGAACGTTATGAGGTCTATTGTAAAGTTCAAGGCGTTTTATTGAGTTATTAGCGCTGTAAATCCGCCACAACAAACCACTTTATGTACTGCTCAACAATGTTATAAAGAACATTACCGACCAGGGGCCGGATTAAGGGCGACACACCCTCAAACGACGAAAAAAACCAACACGATTTTTATTTTTACGACCCGATAATATAAAAACACATCTGCTCGATTCTTATTAAGTTTATGATTTTTTATGATTCCGACATCTCGTTGACCTCATCAGAACGCTAACGAGGCAGGAAAGTCTTTATTAGCCGTAATCTTTACGAGCAGGACCGCATCTGGATACGTCGAAAAATGAGGTGAAGCCACTTCCTAATAAACTACTTGTGAGAAAGAGATCGGTAAATCCAAAACTTAAATTACACGAAATAGGGATTTCCATGTCTAAGAGATCTATTGTGTGTTTACTTCAGGTTCAAACGATTCAAATAATAACTAAAAAAAGGAAAATATCCAAGTTTGTAGCAGTTTAACATAAACAAAGCTCAACAGCTGCGGAATTTTTTCATTGTTGTTGCTATTTTTCCGTTTCAGCCGAAATTGCGCAAAACAAACGTCGTTTCAACGTCCCGTGCCTGCGGGTTCCGCTTAAACCGAGAAATACGCTCGATGATCAGCGTTTTTCGCGCTGCACAATCGAGCATTTAAGCGATCAAGATGGATTATATTTAAATATTTAAAATGGATACGTAAATACAATGGCACAATAGATCTATTGTCTAATGGGAGGCTTTGATCGCCGCTTTTCGGACCAAGGATTTTAATTGTTCCATCTGGGATTTTCGATGGTCGCTCGGAGGTTTTTGAACGAAGCTGGTGGTACCCAGAAGCGGAGAATTTGGCTAATTAGCTGGTTCTGGTTGTTTTCGAAATTTAGTTATTGTGTGAATGGTGTGGTGTAATGGGTGCTTTGGGCTCTTTACAACTATGTTGCAGATGGTATGGGCAATTAGGCACGTAAGTGATGGTGTGAATTCTTGAATAACACGAAAGGGAAATGAAATGGTGCAGAAAGATCTGATAAAATTTTATGTGGGTTGAGGCAGCAGTCGAGATTTTGGCGATATTTGACAGTTTTGCTTCATTAGTATTACACGCAGCAAGCTATTTTAAAAAATAATCAAAATTACTCGTGTTATATACAGTTAAAAAATACACAAGCAACAAGTGGTTTTGTGAAATTTAAGTTGACGTTGGGGGTTTGATATCGATTATCAGTTACCAGAAGTTTTTATTTCTACTCTTTATTCACACTCACGAAGGGTATCAATAATTTCTTTTATAGAATATACATTATATATAGCATGAATAAGTACTACTCCATATTCTAAAAATAAGGAATCGACCTTTAACTTTACTTTACATGGAAAAACTATGCCTTCAGTCAAACAGCATAAATGTTTAAGAAAAAATCGAACCCATGTGAGTAAAAACCCAACCACTTGCACTAAAACTCCAAGCATGCACGGGTAAGCGGTAAATTGAGCGTCCGCTTAAATTTTGCGATGTATGAACTTTTCCAGTTTGCAATTTTCGTGTCTGTATCACATCCTATAATAACAGACCTTGACATAGTTATGTTGTGAACCAAACCAAACCTATCATTATCTCTCGCCGAGAGTCTATCAATAATTTAATAAATTATTTAAACCCGACAACTTTAATTTCCACATGCTTGAATACTGTTTTGGCCCCGTTGCCACGACACGATTGATTTTTTACTAAAACTATAAAACAGGGACTCCTCATTATCGCACCATTTTAACCATCATGGAACGCTGGGAGGGTAAAGTCGCCGTAGTGACGGGTGCTAGTGTGGGAATTGGCGCCGCCACTGCTAAACTTTTAGTGCAAAAAGGAATGAAGGTGAGTTGAAACTTGCAAAATCGAATATTCCCAATAATAAAAATAGGTTGTGGGTTTAGCCCGTCGGGTTGAGTTGATCGAGGATATGATTGGCACCTTGACGGACGCCCCTGGGGAGCTTTTCGCGCTGAAATGCGACATGTCGAAGGAAGAAGAGATCCTGGAAGCGTTCAACTGGGTGAAGGAAAACGTAGGACCTGTGAGCGTTTTAGTGAATAATGCTGGCTTCATACGACCGACGACGCTACTAGGTAAAAGACGTATTGTTTTCGGTTACGTTACAACATTACGTTTACGTAGATGGTTCCACGGAGGAATGGCGCTACACGTTCGACGTCAACGTCATAGCCATGTGCATCTGTACCCGAGAAGCTGTCAAAATCATGCGCGAGAACGTCATAGCGGGTCATATTATCCACATGGGGTCTATAGTAGGCAGATACCCCATCATGATGCCTATTCCAAACCTTAATGTGTATCCTGCGTCCAAGTATGCGGTTACAGCGCTTACGGAAAACTTACGACAAGAACTGAATTTTCACAAGACGGGCATTAAAGTTACGGTTTGTATAAGCGTCTACGTAACGTAAACACAGTTTTATTTTGTGTTTTGTAGCATATTTCCCCAGGGGTTGTTATTTCGGAATTTCAGGAAGGTTTTTCGAAAGATGGGACCTTGGAAGCAATGAGGAGCGGACCGATTTTGTATCCTGAAGATATTGCTGATGCTATTGTGTATACGCTATCGACGCCTCCTCACGTTCAGGTATTTCTGACTGGGGTTTTGTTTATTTGTTTGTAATTTGGCTTTTGTAGGTGCATGATATGATGATTAAACCGGTTGGCGAACCCATCTAATAACGACAAAATTATGATAGTTTCTGTTATTATTATTATCATCAAAATTGAAAGAAAATGCACCGGACGCAAAGTAGTTGTTTACAAGTGGTTTCAACTTAAAGCGAGAACAAGATTTTGTTTTAATGTTCGTCGTATGAATTTTATTTCAATGAGTTTTTGTTGAAAATTTTCTATTCCTATAATTGTAGGATATATTTGGTCTAAATTATACAAGTGTTTAAAAATTAAATAAAATACAAAAATTTCATACAGAATTGTTTTCATTTGTCCAACACGGTGGAGAAATTTTTATATCACGTTTAAAAAGATAATGCCAAACAGTCAGATGTAGCCGAACCAAAATTTTCTGAAAATTCCTTGAATGTATTTAAAAACAATGATAACTGAAAATGCTTTCTTCTAGACACATTTTTTGAAAAGAATTAAAAAAAGGCAGAGTTTGTCCAATTTCTTTTAGGTTCTTTTATAACTATTTTTAACACTCCCTTAGTCCTAAATTCCAAGGGTACGCGGTCCGCACAAGCGTGCACAATGTGAAATATATTTAAATCAGCTAACCAAAGGGAAAAAATGTAGACATTCCTCAGTACATGCTTAACTTTGATACTTTGACTATTTCGAAATCGAAAGAATTCGACTATTCGCACGTTTAGATTAGAAACAGCAGCGATTAAAAGAAAATAAAAGTTGATTAATTTTGTCTCATCAACATTCAAAAATACTCATAATTTGACGGATAAATTTTGATTAACGATTTACTATGTTTGTAAAACCTTAAAAGATTTGCAAGATTTTACAGCATTCGGTTTTTGAAATCTCAAAGTTAAAATGTAAAATATTCGTTAAATAATTTTGATTTTTTTCCAAAAAATCTGGATGCCAAGGGTAAAAACTCAACACGGATTCAAATATCACACATGTAGGGACATGTTATTATATAAAACTTAAAGAACATTTATTTGAAAGAATAGTTAGATGACGTCATCAATTTTGGGGGGGGGGCATAAACTAATACATTTTGATTAACGATTTATCATGTTTCCAACAAACTTAAAACCCTGGCAAGATTTCAAAGCATTCGGTTTTGCAGTTTCAAAGTAAAATTGTAAAATACAATTTCGAATTTTTTCCCAAAAATCTGAATGTCTAGGGTAAAAATTCTACACGGATTCTTAAATCACGCATGCAAGAGTATATAATTCTATAAAATTTAAAAATCATTTATTCGGCAAAATTGTAAAATAATGTCATCATTTTTTAGGGAGGCCTAAACGAAAAAAAATATGATTTCAAAATTAAATTCTAAATTTTGTTCAACAATTTTGATTTTAATTTTGATTCCCAAAAATCTTGATATTTAGAGCAAAAATTCGACTCAGGTTCATAAATCACACATGCAGGAGTATGTAATTCTGTAAAATTTAAAGAACATTTATTCGGCAAAATTGTAGAAAACATCACTTTTTGACTGGACATGAATGAAAAAATTTCGCTTAACGATTTACCTTGCTTACGGCAATCTTAAAACATCTGCAAGATTTCACAGCATTCGGTTTTTGCAATTTCAAAGTTAAATTATAACATATTGTTCTACAATTTTGATTTTTTGCCAAAAATCTGGATGTACAGGGTAAAAACTCATTACGGATCAGAAATCTCACTGCAAGAGTTCTATAAAAATGATTAATAACAAAAAAAAAATTAAATAATTAATCTATAATATAATTCTATAAAATTTGGGCAAGTTAAGCAAATTTGTTAAATGACGTCATTACTTTTTTGGGGGGCATGAAAAAAATTGTGATTAACGATTTACCATGCTTACGATAACCTGAAAAGGTTTACAAAATTTCAGAGCATTCGGTTTTGCAGTTTCAAAGTTAAATTATAAAATGTTATTACACAATTTTAATTTTTTTTCAAAAATCTGGATGTCTAAAGGAAAAACTCAAGACTGATCGTACATCACATCTGCAGGATTATTTAATTTTATAAAATGCAGACAGACAGACACACTCAGAGAGAGAGAGAGAGAGAGAGAGAGACGGAAACGGGGAACCTATTTTTTCGTACTCTAAGGGTCATGAATCGTCGAGAAAACATTAAAAGAACCAGTCGTCCAAAGGACTCGATTACAATACTTCCTTAGCTTACGCTCAGCAATTGAAAATATCATTATCTAAAGATTCCTTGTATAAATTTTAGAATAAGTATATGTATTGAAAAACAGTGACAACTGAAATCATGAGGATTCCTGAAAATTCTTTCTCCTAAACAAATTTTTTGAGAAAAATTAAAAATATGGAAAATTTGTCCGATAGATTGAAAATAAAGACTCTTCGTTTTTTTTTTTTTGGAAAAAAAAAATTGAAAACATTGAAAATTACACATAAAAATACAAAAATTAAAATTAGCTATACTGATTAAAGTCTCATAATCCAGGAATGTTAAGATACTAGTTTACAAACAGTCATTTTTAAACATCAAAATATTATAAATCCTTCAAAAGATTAATAAATTTTACATATTTAAGAAACTTCAAAATCACAGAACTTGAGGTTGTATTGTATTATATATCTGCATTCCTCATATTTTGAAATCTTCGATCCTGAAATTCGAACAGTCTATATTTTTTGATCTTGATAATTTGAAACTTCTGAAATCTACAGCACCTTAGATTAACTCCCACTCTCACAGCTTAATCGTTTTAATCCTGAAGTGTGAGAGTCGGTCGTTAACAGTAGTCGCGTTACCTAAAACCGTACGCATATTTTTGAAAAAGTGGGTAAAATTCTTGAACTTTGCCACCGCGCCGCGTAAGTAAAACCAGCTAGAACGTGTATAGTCCCAGCCCAGATGATATCTCTATCCCTGCGCGCAATAAATCAAAACAATTCCCGAAATTTACAGCGTAATAAACCCGAGAATATTTTACAAATTAGTGTGACAGAAAATAATTTAAGACCCCAAATATAAATAAAAGTCGGTCGTTAAATTTCGCGCTGACTAAACATGCACTAAACTCGTAGGAACGACATAGGAAGCTCGCGCGTACATGTTCGGAATCTGGTACACCGTACCACGGCCATGCCCATACGTGTGAAAAAATATTTTTCGGTTTTAGAGGATCCGTAATTTACGGCGACAGATTCTGACAAATTGCGGAGTTTAAAAAGCCGAATAAAGTGAAACGTCGAAAAGACCCATCCTTGGCATTTGATTCGTCGGACCGCCCATCCGCGAGGCTATTGCACTTTTCGGTAGCCGACACATAGATAAATTTTCCGTAAAATATTTATTATATTTAAATTAGCGGCTACGGCGACTTTTACTTCCAAGAAAGACAAGAGGCGGCGGAAGCGGGGCCGGACTGGCCCTTGCAGACGCCACACCTGACAATATTACCTACGTATACTCGAGACCGCCAAATAATGAACAACGCTTGCCTGCTTGACCGAAAGGAACAAGGGTTTTAAGCATAAAATGTGTTCACTATTTGTCTACCTCGACTATAACATTAAATTTATCAAATTTTCACGTAAAAAGAGTGACGATTTCTTTGAAGGGTTTAACCAGGTGTATCTTACGTGTTGCTCGCGGGAACTAACCCCAGGCTAGTCCTCGAACCGAGTCCGGCCCTGGATGGGAGCGTGGAGGAAAAAGTTATGGACGTGGATGCGGTGTCGAAGCGAAAATCGAAAGATGTATCGTGTGTATGAAAACACGTTCGACGCGTTTAATCGACAATAAAAAGCGTGAATTATGACCGGTGGTTATAGATTAAACAATATGGTGGTTCGACGCACCCGTTTTGTACCCTAATTGACACTTGCTTTGTCAGCGGTTTATTAATTGGACACGTGAAAATCGCGCTAGAGCGAGCTTTTATGGCCGAGGATATAAAATTTTATTTATGGACGATGCTGCTCGTTCTTAACTCTTTCTGAAATTTTGACTACTGAAATATTAAAATTTTTGCGAGGCTTTTCACTCCTTGAAGTATTCTTTTGTGCTGTCGCTTGCGAGGCGTTTAGGACTGTCAGACTTGGCAAATTTATTGGTTTTTCGATGAATTAGTGTTTTATTTTTTTATTCAAAGAATATTTTTTGCCTTGGGTTGTTAAACTATTTTTAAGTTCCAAATTTGAATGTGAACGTGAAATTACATTGTGGTCAAAATGATCCTGTTGTCATATTTCCATTAGGACTAAATTGTCTGTCAAATTTAGTATAGTGTCAAAATGGGCTTAGTTAAAACAAAAATTTGAAAATACTAATTTGTTAGACAGTTATACTAATTTCGATTAATTTAGACCAATTAGTATTACGACAGAAAAAATAGAACATTTCAAGAGTTTGTTCTTCCATTGTAGCAATTAGTCTACGCTAATTAAGCAAAACGTGTATTCCCGCGCTAGGTCTTCTCACAGAGACAACAAACATAAATTCCTTTCTTCGAACACTTGATTACTATTTATTCTTGTAATTAAACGAATCATCCGATCAGTCAGTCGATCAATCAGTCAATCTCCTTCGTCTACGTTATTGACAATCGCACTCTGCTCCTCGATTTTATTAAAACTTGTTTAGTTGTAAGCAACACGACTCTGATTTGTAATTTTAATTAATCAAACTTCATCCACAAAACAATAATTGCTTTAGATCGCTCATTAATCGACCATTAGCAGATTAATCGGTTTAGAAGATTCCAGTTTTTCAAGCGTCTCGCCGTATTTATAAATCCTACAAAAAGCGTGATAAATAGAGAAATATAAATAAAATCCAAATAATTCTTCAGCGGAATATTCTTTATGTGACAGTATTATTCAGGTGAAATATGTACGTGGAAAAAAGTAGTCGCGCTAAAAAAAATGTATAAATTTAATAATAATTTCAAATTATGCGGCTTAGTGGGCTGCGGTACTCGGCCATCTTTTCGTGTTTTAAATTGTAGGCGTTTAATAAACTGGAACGCCGTACGTACCTACGCTTAATTATTAATTTCCTCAAGTG